AATACATCCTACAACACCAAGAAACCTGACAAAGAATACAATACATCCTGCAACACCAAGAAACCTGACCAAGAATACAATACATCCTGCAACACTAATAAACCTGACCAAGGATTTAATACGACCTGCAAACCGAATACTCTTTTTTACCAGCTTATAATGTTAAGAACCGTTGCTCTTTCTTCTAACCTGTTCATGAGAATGAAGGAAGTAAAATGTGAAGGGATTTCCACGATGGATGTGAGAAAGAACACGAGATAAAAATTGCCGCCAAAGCTTCCAGTACCGAATGAGACGCCATAGTAGATCATAGAAATAACTACCCTGCCATATGAGAATAATATTTTACTATTAAAAACGATAAAAAAAACAACAATAATAATAATAATAAAATGGAAGACGTTGAGCATGATATCGTAAATTATCAAGACCAAGGCTGTATCATATGCCGACTAGAAAGATCTTGGCGAAAATCTCATCTAAGGCCATATATCGTCAGTTTGTTGTGAAGTGTGATCGTCCGGGTGAGTGTAGTCTTGAGAAAAACTGTTGTTGGTGGTGACTGACGTTTCGACAACCTGATCGGAAGTCATCTTCAGAGTCCAGTGAGAAAACGAGAGACAGTTGATCGTAATGTAGACGGTAATTAGGCGGTATTGTTATGTAGAGATGCGTCGGTGTTGTGTAAGGTGCCGGTAATTGTTGACTTCGGTTAAGCGGTTTTTGTTCTGTAGCAGAGTTCCAGTCAATGTTGTGTCCAGTGTTCTTGTGATGTTCAGCGATGTGATTGTTAGGATACTGTTAGTGGCGCGTTTGTGTTCAGCAAGTGTGTCGTCAGTAAGGTCCCACCAGTCAGTCCAATGTAAGAGTCATGGATCACCAGTTATGTGTTGACCAGTCTAATGTAGTTCGAACTCTTATCAAAACATCTAAAAATGAATTTTAGACCATCTATTGATTTTCTAAAGTTTTCAGATTTTGATGTCTCTCCGTCCTCAAATCATGCTTAAAATATTGCAGTTGTTTTTAATGACTGAAAAATTGTCTCTAGAAAACCACTTTACTTCTATTTGCAAATCATGCTTCTTTCACACACATAACATATGGAAAATTCGAAATATATCAGTCTTGAAGCTTGTGAAACTCTTGTTCACGCGCTAATCTTCTCTAGACTTTACTTTAGTAATCCCTTGCTGTATTACTGTACCTAAATTGTCACTACAAAAACTTAAGCATGTCCAAAATGCAGCTGCAAGAGTCGTTTCTCGTTTCCACAAGCATGATCATATCTCTTCCGTTCTTTATCGTTTACATTCGTATTCAATTCAAAATACTCTTACTCACCTTTAAGGCTTGACCTAATACTAACGTTTTAAGCCCTTTTTTCGCTCCTTATCTAATTCTTTAACCAAAACTTCTTTTAAACTTGAAACATATGGGAAAAGAGCTTTTTGGAGTGCCGCTCTTCAGTTATGGAACAATCTACCTCCTAACAACAGGTCCGAAGTGAGTTTAGTGAGTCAACAGGGAACTCAGAACTGGAGTATCACAGTTAGAACAAATATTAGACATACTTATGAAATTAATAAATGGAAATAACGGAGAAAAAGAACCTAGTCGTGCTAGTTGGAATCCCTACCCACCATAGGAGCTAATGGGGACTCTTGACCTACCAGCAAAGCCAGTTAATAAGAGTCGTATGCACCATCTTTAACGATCGAAACAAATCTCTGAAGTCCCCAACACGCTGCTTGGTGGTCACCACTACAACAGGATTAGGAGGCATGGCTTTTCGATTAAACTTTGCAACTTCACGGAGATACTTTGTTCCTTGTTCTGACTTGTCGTTTACCATCAACCAACGAGGGGATTCGGGAAGAAACCTAACAAAACAAAGTTTATGAGTAAATAAACAAGAGTACTTGGAGAAACACATTAAGATCTAAGCTGTCTCTTCAAAAAGCGCAACATCAAACAATACAACCTACGAGGGATAAGTGCAACTCCCCAACGAAGACTCGCTTCTCGGTAAATATTCTCCGATATTCACTGAGGCTGAGGCAAATAATTGTTTTAGTATAAATACACAGGTGATTCTTTCAAAGAAAAAATAAAAAAAAAGAAGATAAAAGACTTTTTTCCCCCGGTAACAGTAACAAAGCGGCTGGCCGCCATTTTGAATTATCGCTGGAGGTGATTATCGTGTGAGAGTTTCACGACCCAGCGCGCGAGATTTTCTATAATCACCTGCGTATTTTTACTAAGGGGGTATTATATTCGTTATTTTAAAATCACACGACCACATCAGCAACGCTGTAAAACTTATCGTGGCTTTCAACTTCTCCCATCTCCACTCCCCTCCTCTCTCATTTTGGCATGTGTTTTAATTTACCTACCACCAAAAGAATACTTGCAGCAAGCCAGGAGTTGCACCAGCAATCGACAAAAGTCGCCACTCCGCCTTGAAAATCCATGCAAATAATGAAAGTAGCATCAGAGAGAAAGTCCAGAAGTACCAGAGACTAGTCCCACTGAATGCACGCTGTTTAGGATTTACATACTCCAGCAAGAGAATGAACATTGACAAACTTGAGCTCCCTCAAATACAAACAAATTAAGAGGATTAAAAGCAGCGAAATTATCTTGCTATTGCGAAAAGGACAACCTTAAGTTTTCAGTATTTTTCTTAAGTTTTGCGATTTTGTAAAACAATCAAAACACCGGCATCAAAAATATAAGTTGCCCTTAGTTACGCTACGCCATCTCTGAGCGTGCGCAGTGCGTTTTTCACCAGTGTCGCAGTGGAGCAGTGGAGCAGACGAGCAGAAGAGCAGACGAGCAAACAAACAAAAAAGCTACTACTAACTAAGCTAACTACTATAGTAAACAACTGGAAATTATGCAAATAGACCTAAATAAATTAGGTATACTTGATTGATTACTTACCAATACAAATCCCTATAAACCCCCGAAGCAATGTAAACACCCAAAACGCATTCACGAACGAGGAAATCAATGCAAGCACATTACACAGTACCGATGGAAAATACACCATGGGTTTTCTTCCTAACTTATCCGAGAGAATCCCTCCAAACAGTACCCCTATCATGTAACCAGCGAACACCACACTCTTGGAAAGACTGCCTAGGCTAGAGCGATCGCATACCAAATCCCACTGAAATGGGAAAAAATATGATTTAAAAAAAATTTGAAATCATGTTACTAAAACTCTAATAATAAATATTTTCAGCAGGTATGAATTAGCTGAATGAACCTCGCGAATCTTATTACCACAGCTTACAATGACCGGCAAACACTGCCCGTCATGTGCCATCAACCAGAGAGTGTTCTATTGCTTGAATTGGTGTCAATCAGCTGAATTAATCTTATTTCGAGGCTGCAATGACTGGCAAACACTGCCCGTCATGTGTTATCAACCAGAAAGTATTCTATTGCTTAGTTCAATCAGCTGAATGAATCTCATGAATTTCATTGGCACATGCTGTAGTGGATTCTCAGCAATTATGTATGTATATATTATATGTAACGTGTTTGTGTTTGTGTGTGTGTATGCGTGGGTGTTTAAATGGCAAAGCTAAATAAATAAATAATTTGATTGAAGGGTATCAATCAGCTCTATGCTCCATCATCGATGAACATTTCTACTGAAGACTTGCCATATACCAAGACCCGAAATGACGTAACATAATAACGACCTATACGCACCTGACACGAGTGAAAAACGTCTGCGCATGCTCTGAATCCGTATGCAAATTAGTCAAAACATAAGTAAATTTGACTTTCAAACATGCCTGATAAATTGGACTTCATAAAATGCCAAAACTTAGTGCCCATGCTTGAAACTTAAGGCTACTTCTTTTATATTGTGTTTGTTAAAACAGTATCGTGGTCTGACAAAAGTATACTCTCGAACTTTTTTGTATACTTGGAGAAAACAAACATTTATTTCCTCACTCAAACTCTTCAAAATTCTTAGAAAACGTGCTAAAGTGCACGCATGCGCAAACGTTTTTCTCTAGTGTCATACGCACCTCAGATACGATGGAAGTGAATTCACTTTTAACAAACTCCCAATCAGAACGAGGCAAGCTACATCTAAGACTGTAGAAWTTGTTCCCTGGTGATATGTTGCCGGTGACGTTACAGGCGGTGCTGTTCTCGACGCATTGCCACGGAGGTTCAGCAGCAATAAATGTAGGAATCATTGCCTGGAATCCATCACCAAATATTTTCATGAATCCCATGATCATGAAGAGTCGTGCCTGGTACCGACCAAAACTGCCTATCTTCTCCATGATGTCATCGACTGTCATTGGCGTATCGTCTGATGACGTCAACATGTCTTTATCGTACTGAATAAAAAAATGGGTGGTACAATAAACACCCATGTATAAGAACCTAGATTTTAAGAACCTTTTAGACTAGAATTTTCCATTAAGACCCCCTTTACGTAAGAACCTGTTATAGATTAAAATTTTAAACCAGGATCTTATTTTATCAAAAAGAGACAAAGTTAAAAAAAAATAAATCAAAGGAAATGAGCATCCTGTCAAAGAGTTGTCAAGTTTCATTGTGTATGCGGCCGATTAAATACAAGTTATGTTCCGACACTGCACGTTTACATTCAATGCGAAGGAAAATAGACTCTGCCGATGTAGGGCGTTATACTTGTCACGTCTGCGTGGCGTAACTTAGCAACGCTGTCATGATTTGGTCATGCGCACTACTATGTACCAGGTTAAAAACCGGTTTTAAAACTGGTTTCGTTGGTCCACAATCGTGGACGACGGTGTATCAAAGGAAACGCTCTACATCGGCAGAGTCTCCCTCCTCCCCGTCTAAAAGAAGGGAGAGAAAGAGAAGAGAGACTCTGCTAGCAGGGAACACAGTCGATAGCGGGCAGAAAGATTATGATTGTTTTTTATCAAACTTAGTCTGCTAATTTTTAGACCGAGGAAAGGTTGCTACGAGTTATAGTAACGGCTCCAAAGAACACCAGTGATTCTTGCACTGTGCTGCTTCGTGCTTCTCGATTCCAGCCCGTACAGAAGAATAGTTTGATCTTGATAATATCAGCTCTTCTTTTCGTATCGGCTCATATTTTCAAGGAAAAATCATTAGAATCTCAATCAAAATACCCCAAGTTTGAAGCAGAAAAGATAAATCGTTCGCCTGGATATGGATCAAATGCAGGGAGAATGTGTTCTTTTAAACTGATATTTCACAAAAGTAGTATCTTGTAATCAAAAATGTTATGCTCAAATATTTGCACATACCTATAAACCTATTCTTTAAATGCAAAATATTCTATATATTTAATTTATACTTGACCCATTTAGCTCAATTAGATAGTTGTAGATCCTACGCAGCCGACTTAGGGGAGTGAGCGTGGCGTGACGACACTAATAACTACTTAGGGGAGTGAGCGTGGCGTGACGACACTAATAGCGGAGCTGTGTAGGAGACCCTGGCTAAACGAGGCCCTGGCTAAACGAGGCCCTGGCTAAACGAGGAAACATGTTTCCAGAAGCATGTTTTTTAAAATGTTTCCAAAGGTGGCAAAACTCTCAGGAAACATCGTGAAACATGTTTGCTCAATATCGGTTAGCGCATGCGCACTTTCAAGATAGAGCTAGCGTTGCTAAGTAACGAACTTTTAGAATGTTGACTTTCGTGGCTAAACCAAGAAACATTGGGAAACATTGTTTCCGTGCATCCTGGAAGCATGAAATGTTTCTGCCGCACAGCAGAAACACTTTTGCTTCTTGGAAGCAAAATTTGTTGCACGTAGCAATGTTTCGCATGTGGCTAAACTTGAAAACATCGGGGAAACATGTTTCTGGAAAATCGTTTCCTCGTTTAGACAGGGCCTAAGATAGTTGATGAGAACGAAGAAAACTTTGAACAGCTTGCAAAGGTGATATGGACTTTATATCTTATCCATTTTCGTAAAAATATATACCAAGATACTCTGAATAGATTGAATTTTATCAATTAGCCGAATGGATAATTTCGATTTCGCGACTTCGACAAATTTGGCGCCAGCCCAAAACACGGGTTTTACCGTTGTCAAAGGGATTATCGTCCCCCCGAGTAATGTGTCCCCCCGAACACTGGGCACTAGCGTTTCGTGTTCCTCCCTCCCCTCCCTTTGAAACATCTTTTGACACGATTCTCTCCCCCTGGTCAAGGACATATGAAAGATAACCATATTGACCTTAATGTCTCTTGTTTTGTAGGGTTTTACTCTGAACATGAAAAAAAATAATATGGATTATCTCTAACGTACATCTCCATCGTACATCGTAATCCTCTACGTTGGTATTTTGGGAGATAAAAGTTTATTTTACGAAAACCAAAACCCGTGTTTTGGGCTGGCGCCAAATTTGTCGAGGTCGCGTGAAGGCGCTGTAATTTAGTGAAATTAATAGTTAAAAAATACCCAGAATATTCATGATAATGCCAAATTCCAAATTCGGGTAACAAGAAACATTGCAGTCTGTCATCCGTATAGCCATTACAATAATTTAAGCCGGGGTTTTCAAGGAAATTGAGTAGAAATTTTCAAAACCAAAAACTTTTCAAGCGCCCCCGACTGTTCCCTGCTAGCAGAGTCTCTCTTTTCTTTCTTTCCCTTTCAGGCGGGGAGGCCAGGAGACTCGATCGTGGACGAACAAAACCAGTTTTAAAACCGGTTTTTAATCGATTACATGTAGTGCGCATGAGCAAATGTAACACACCGTGGCGCCAAACATTGTTTGACGAGGGCGGCTGTCAAAATCATGACAGCGTTGCTAAGTTACGCCACGCATGCGCGACAAATATAACGTCCTACATCGGCAGAGTCTATTTTCCTCTCTCAACCAAAACAAGAGGAAAATAGGCTTTGCTGGCAGGGAACGCCGACTGAAACTGAGATTAAATTTAAGGAGTTTTGAAAGAGTCTTATATCACGAACCCTGATACTAAATTCGAATTGGCTTCGTTTATCGTGGAAACGGTGGTGATCTATGGGAGGAGAGTCGCTCGAAGTTTGTCTACAAATATAGAATACTGGATTAGAATTCAATTCAATCAATAAGGAGCCCTGATACTAAATTCGAATATTGGCTTCGTTTATCGTGGAATGGATGGTGATCTATGTGATGCGAATATTTTGGGGGCCTGCCCCCCCCCCCCCCCCCCCCAATATTTACTGCAAAATTTAGACAACTTTAATTTATTGTATCTCCTGAACTAATGAAGCAACTGCTCTCAAATTGATGAATATGAGTAAGAGAAAAATATCAAATGCCCTTGGCAGGATTCGAACCCACGTCTTCGGTATTCTAGTCCGATGTGTTAACCACTACACTACA